GGTGTTATCAATCTATATACCACTGCACGCGCAACAGCAGCTCTTCGTAATTAAGGCACAAGCACAGCTGACGTGTTCGTCGGCGGTAAATCGAAAGGCGACGGCCATCAAATGACACACGCTGTGAATGACACCACGTGCCACTGCTTGACGGCGAGGTGGGAAGCTGTGAGAAGGGCACATTTGAGCTGATTGCGACACCATCCGATGTCGCTGTCGTAACGGATTTATTTATACGCTTCGACAAGAATAATAAAACAGCGACTCGTGCCCAATTATATCGCAAATTGAAAACGTGAGGGAGATAACTACAACTCGCACCCCGTGTATTAGGGTGCGCGACGATCCACCTTGTTGGACTCAAGAGCCAGAAAGTTGGAATAGGGTCCGCCAATGACAAGGCTAGCCGCACGACGTGTAGTCGCTGTGAACGAAGCTGGATACTCCTATTAAACAGGACAACCGACCCGTCACGCTACCAGATCGCCGTCCGCCCGCAACACAGTGCAGACACTTTTCGAGCAGCCCGACACGGCACGCGAACACTACACGCGCACGCCACGTTCCGCCGCCGCTACGCAGCACTAGCATCACATGCCACCGCGTTCCTTGCTCCACGAAACGCAACCGAACGCACGCTCCCCAGCGAACGCACACACACACTACCTACGCACGCACGCTCATCTTGCTTTCTCCCCCTCCTCTCTCTTCCACCACGCGCCGCGTCACTCCACACGCACCCTTACCCCTACAACGCCACACCGCACACCACACACGATATCAACCACACTCCACCCGTTCGCGCGCACACACACACACACCTACTACGCACACGCAACACACGCCCACACACATCACTACCTACGCTGACACGCACACCGCAACACACTCCTTCTCGCCATCTCCATCGCCTATCCACACACTAGCCACTTCACTCCTACATCCTACACGACACACACGCACCAACCTGTTACGAAACGCTGCATCGCACGTCACACGTCCACACATTCGCACGTACGCGCATTCCCCACACCCCACCTCCACAGCTGCGCACCAAAAACTGCACCATACACAGACATCGTCACGCACGCACACGCCAAGCCACGCACGCGCGCCTACACCCACACACACCACACCATCATTGCCACGTCAGCTACTGAACGTACGTACTCACGCACGCACGCACCACACACGCCACTCACACACCACACACGACGACATCCCCACACGCAACTTACATCACACACACCACACACCACACACACACCCACACACCACCACAACCACCGCTCCATATAACGGTTAATTACAGCTCCTATCATATATATATAACTATATACGACTCGTTTCACTATCAGGTAAATTGAGAAAACGTGGCCCTCCTTGATGGACTATAACACAACGCACTCTGCCTTTACCGTTAGTTCTTCGCCGTACACCTTTGACGTCAGAATAGTGCCAGAAAAATGATATCAGTTCTCATGACTAATGAAGCTCCACCGAGCCAGTGTAGCGTAAAAGTTAAGAGCCCGCTTTATTGACCCCTTATTCAAAAGAGCACCGACCCCTCCACGCTCCCACTTGGCCCGTTTGCTTTTACACGCTCTTACGCATGTCATTATCTTACGGAACTTAACACGCAGCACCGCACACACACTGCGCGCCACCGCAACACACGAACCGCCTCGCACGCACCGATCACCGCACACCACTGCCACGCCGCATTGCACACGCACACGCTGCGCACGCCCAACACACAACACAGACACGCACCAGGCAAACCCACACGCTACGCGCGCTTCACACCACACACACATGCACCGCCTACGCCACGCACTGCACCGGCACGTAACGGCGACGCCCCACCGCCTACACACCACCCACACGCACACGGCACACGCACACGCTAGGCACACGCCACACGAGCACACCCACACGCCAACTCACGCACACCACACCCCCCCACCCACACACACCAACACACACACACAACACACACGCACACAACACACCACCACACTCACATCAACACAACACACACACACACACACACCACCACACACCACACCACCACACGACCACCCTTACCACACTCACGCTACGCACGCCAACGCTCCACTCGAGCGGCACGCACGACACACCTATCACCACGACACCAGACCACACACACACGCACACCACACCACACCACACACCACACACACACCACACACACACAGCACACTACGTTGCTCATTATATTTCGCGTTATTGAATCAGATCATCGACAGCAATCAATAAATCAACAGCGACTCGGCTTCATCCGTTAGTTTAGTTTTAAACTTTGAAAACGTGGAGCCCCCACATGGGATATAAGCACAACGCCATCCGTATAGGTGCGCGCGCTCCACCGTACTTCGTCTAATTTAATGCAAGAAAATTGTGAACAAGTTGCCCAAATCGACACGCTAGCCCATATTGGTACCCCTCTCTACTCGTAATCCTCTCTTCTCCAACCATCGCCTCCTCTGCTTGATAGAAGAGCGGCAGCGAGGTTATATATACCACAGCCGTTCCTCTAGAATGATCTCGTAGAAATTAGTAGGTATATACTATTATTTGTGCACTTACTATTACAATATACCCTAAAATTCAGCATTACCCTAAGATTCTAGGGTGTAGTATCCCTTTAAGTGGCTTATTGTCGATTAGGTGTGATTACCTCCGCCAAGGAGGTTGTTTTCGCCCCTGTTCGTTTGTGTTTGTTGGTTTGTCTGTCTGTCAACAGGATATCTTAAAAAGTTACGGACGGATTTTGATGAAATTTTTTGGACGGGTTAGTTTTCGGCCAGCAACCAATCGATTAGATTTTGGTGGTGATCTGGATCTAGATCTGGATCCAGGATTTTTTTCCATTTTTCTTTTTGTGGGGAAGATTTCAAACGCGGACTTCGGACGCATTCAAAATTCATGAAAAAAATCATGGATCTTTTTTTGTCAAATTTTTGAAAATTCCATCAAACCCTTATATATATTGGGTGTACCAGCAAGATGGGGGGACTGCTACGCTGTGACGGAGGTTGCTCTTGTGTTATGGCTGTTTCCAGTAGCTACCCTGCATCCTATCATATTGCCTTCCTCGGTTTACCTTTACTTAATGCACTATCATATCATCCTCATATACTCTGCTGTATGTATATATATAGCCATAATGTGTTTTTTGCTCCTTTAATATCTGACCTGATCTATTCTGCTTTTTCCAAGAAGTGATGGGTGTAAAAGGAAACGACAATGTTCATTGTGTGATTGTACCCATGCTAGCAGGAGTTAATAAAGACGATTTGTCTTTATTAACTCCTGTTACTAGGTATATGTTTACGACTGCGTGCCTGGGCGGGCATCCGTGCATGCGAGTGTGTGTATGTGTGTGCGCTGCGGGCGGGCATGCGTTGTGTGCATTTGTGTGAGATGCGTGCGTGTATGTGCGTGCGTGTGTGTGCGTGCAGTGCGTGCGTGTGTGTGCGTGTATGTGCGTGCGTGTATCGTGCGTTGCGTGTATGTGCGTTGTGTGCTGTGCGTGCGTGTGTGTGCGTGCATGCGTGCGTGTATGGCGTGTGTTGCACGCTCGTGTGTGCGATCGGTGTACTTGCGTAGGCGGTTGGCTGAATGTCTGACTGCATTTGCAATGCGTTTCAGCAGTACATTATCTCTATTGGATCAACATTTCACTAATACGCGCAGGCCTACGCGACAGTGTTGTAACACGAGACTGATTTCCATTTGGAAATTAGCAAAGAAAATCGGTGCATTTTGCAATTCGTGTTAGTTGTTTTTTTTTTAATTTGCGCGAAATTATATTAATGCAACTGCCGTCTCGCTAGGAATATACGCTTAATATATGGACTTGCCAGCGTGCGCTAACGTTAAATGCTGCCATTAGGGGGCAGACGAATTTCATCAGAATTCACGCTGTCGTTATATGTCATAATTAAAAAAAAAGGATTTAATTAAACGGGGATTAAACGCAAGGGGAATAACGCAAAGTGGCTAATGTGTCACAAAAATCCCTTAAATGTGCAATCGGGATCTGCGTGCATTCTCAATAACATCCGAATTAATAGCATACCGTATATATATAATATATAGAGTGTGTGGCCTGCGTTGCGTCCGCGCGCGCGTGCCGTGTTGTTGTCGTGCGTGTGCGTACGTGCGTGCGTGCGTGCGTGCGTGCGTGCGTGCGTGCGTGTATGTGTGTGTTGGTTGGTGTGTGTGTGGTGTGTGTGTGTGTGTGTGTGTATGTGTGTATACATATGTGCGTGTGGTGCGAGCGTGTGTACTGTGCTGTGCGTGCGGCGGTGCGTGTGTGTGCGTCTGTACACACATACATGCACTGCGCAAGTAATTAGCACTCAACCCTGGCTGAAGATGATTCCTGCACACAGTATATGTACCCCTCTGCGCGCGCTGCTGCTGCTGCTCGCCTGCTGCTACTGCTACCTGTGTCGCTGCTACTGCTGTTGCGACTGCCTCCTGCTCCTGTTGCTGCTTCTGCACTGCTGCTGCTGATGCTGCTGCTGTTTGCTAGCTGCTTGCTGCTGTTGCCTGCTACTGATACTACTACCACTACTACTTGCTGCTGCTACTGCTACTGCTGCTGCTGGTGCTGCTGCTACTACTACTACTACTACTACTGCTGCTGCTGCTACTGCTACTGCTGCTGCTGGTGCTGCTGCTACTACTACTACTACTACTACTGCTGCTGCTGCTGCTACTGCTGCTGCTGCTACTGCTACTACTACTACTGCTGCTGCTGCTGCGCCTGCTACTACTGCTGCTGCTACTGCTGCCGCTGCTGCCGCTGCTGCTGCTGCTACTGCTACTACTACTACTGCTGCTGCTGCTGCGCCTGCTACTACTGCTGCTGCTGCTGCTGCTGCTACTGCTTCTGTGCGGCTGACATGCGCCGACGATCGCACGTGTCACTGCCGACCTGCCGCTATATTGACATTTCACCGTCGCAGACTGAAGCCAAAAGGGAAACCGTCGCTGAGGGATGAGGCACCGCCGCAGCACGACATCGCCAGCCAGCAGACGGCGCTAGAGTTCCACGGCTTCGTCGATCTCTTCAAGGCGTTCAGTCTTCGCTCGCGCAAGGACCTGAAGGACCTCTTCGAGTACCTCATCGATGTGATCGGGTCGACGAGCGAGGAAGCTGTGGCCGTTAAAGAGCAGCAGCATCATCGCCACACCGCCTCCGTTGAAGACGACGACGACGACGACGTCGACGAGGAGGAAGAGGAGGAGGAGGAGGAGGACGACGACGCGTTGGCTATGTCGGCTGCAATACGCACGACGGGGAATCTCGGTAGGTGGTGTTGTCGCGCGTGCGTGCGTGCGTGCGTACGTGCGTATGCATGTACACATGTACATACACGTCATCTTTCCTACTCGATGTTTAATAGTATTTGTTTGTTTTTATTAATTTTTCATATTTTTGTATGGCTAGGCCGTGTTGCTCTAGCTTTTATTTCGCACTCGATTTTTGTTCTTTTAAGTAGTCTATATAATTGTGATTTGATATGATTTGGTGAGCTGATTCGAATGGCGTTCATTTCACGAAGGGAAGAGGTTGTTCGGTGATAGTGGCTGAGTTAGCAGCGGTAGAGGTAGTGTCATCCATGTCCACGTGTGACAAACGTGACGATGGTGGGGTGGCGTGTTGTTCATATTGAATATATCATGAGGTAAATCTCGGATCGAACGCGGATGACTGTCATAAAAAAAATTACTGCATATTAAGACACCTGCGTTCTGAGTAGGTTTCAATCACGTTCCCATCATCACCTTTCCCCGTGTATAATGTCCGTATAGGGAAATGTGACTATCGCCTGTGTTCCAGCATAAAACTGGCTGGGAGGGCTGCCGTAAAGGTCATGAGTATAGAATGGCAGGTTTCAATCCTAGTTTGGGCCGTTGGCAAACTCAGGGAAAGCATTTTATTTTGACTGTAACTATTGTTCCGCGGCTTTCGATTAATTAAATGCGGCTATTTTTGGGTGGTTTTCGCAGATTGGATGTCAGTGACATTATGTTCGTTTACAAAGAAGGCAGATACATTTAATTTCTTTGGGAAATAACTAAAACGTGTCGCGGCTAACAGAATGTTACCTTTGTTTCATGTGACCGGCACCAAATTCGAAAATTAAATTTCGAAATTAAAGCTTAATTGCAAAAAAACGATAGGAATCTACTAATTTCTCATCTCTGCGTTTACTATCGCAGAATAATTAAATGCGAAAGACATGCCTGTGTGTCAGTTGTTGTAAATTGCAGAGGGCGTTTTATTGGCTTTCGTTCTCATGTGAGTGGTTAGACATGCAGTCCCACCATGCGCTTGACCCAGATTCCAAGCCTAGTTTGTTTGTCCTTCTATAATTTCCAGACAGCGAAAGACTGCTCCAAGCGCTACCAATTGCGCTCCATTTTCCTACCAATCACACGAGATCACATTAACGCTCAAGTTGTAGACCCGTCGCTGCGGTTTCCAATAAACAGGAGCACTTATGTTGAACACAAATTGATAAAGGTCAAATACAAAGACGCGCGTAATGGGTTCAATATCGTCGTATCGGTTGATTAGCGAAAGCAGGCCGGTATAAAAGAACAGGGCGCTCTCACGCGAACATGCAGCGGGGGGTGTGCAGGAGAAAGCTGTGATTGTCATCCAGTGACCATCACTTACATGTATTAGCCGCGTTCACACGTAGCAAGAAATCCGGTATTTAGCGGTCACACAAGGCAAAATGCGCGGTCCAAGAAATACGGCATCTAAACAGATCCAGTATTTGATGT